TTTCACCTTCTTGATATAATGATGACATCTATCTGATTTTAAGCGTTTATCTGCTTGAACTTATTCCGTTCTCATTGATTACATGAACCATTCAGCAAAGTACTATTTGTACTGCTGGTTAGCTGCACTATGTGTGCTTTACTAAACGTGATATGCATAATTACCTCAGCGATCGGTACACTAACTGACTTGTAAGTAATGATGATGAGACGCAAGTCAAAAAGACGCAGTTATTTAGGGATGCTCTCCGATGAAAAGTATATATGAATACGATAAAAAGCTAAGGTTGTTTAGGGGAAAGAATTTAGAATGTACCTGGCTGAACTATGAACTCAGAGTCCATGCATATTAATTGCACAAGGAAGAAATGCAAAACGGCGTTTGGGCCTCTCTGTGTGTTTACCCATCAAAACAAAACACCTACAACATCTGTTGGTTGGCTAGACGTTTATTTAGTTAATATTAAGTCTGTTCATTGTGGTCTGTTTATTTTACGCTGGGTTTATTTGGATCCCTTGGAACGTGCACTACCGCCTTTTGACCCATGAAAGGTTCTCATTCTGTGTCGCCAGATTTAACTTATCAGAATTCTGATGTCACCATGTCCTCAGGGTCTTATCTTTTATTATTTATAATTTCCTGTAGAAGTCTGACATTTTTGTAGTTACGTAGCATTGCATAACTGTAAGTCTCCTTCTTTTTGAGTTGAGTATGCTCTTTTACTCCTGCAATAGATTGATTCACACTGCATAATAACCTTCATTGTTTATAGTGACGTCAGGATACCTTGTGGTTGTATAACTTATACTACTTGTTAATAGTAAGTAGTGAAACGTCAAACACAAAGAAAAGGCTATTATAGTGGCCAATTAACTAAAGAACTAACAATTGATATGCAGCTCACATTGCCTGGAATGGATGTAAATCTGACTACACTAGTAATCTGATTGGCGAATTTTGTTTTTTCGTGGGCTGCTAAGAAGTATGAAGAGGTACTACCTGTTTATATCAGTAAAAAGTTTGAGCATTGTGGATTAGATCAAATAAAGTATAATTATATTTCAATAGTTTACACACTGATAAGTTTTGTTATTGGTACTATCTGGTCTAATACTGTTTGATACTACAAAATTAATTTTAAATCTTTAATTTCTCAGTTGTCAAATAGTGACGTGACTTAAAATATAATCGAAGTGAAGGAATTCTGTCAGGATAAGGTAAGAGGACCTTCGAAAATGCGAAAGAATATTAAGAAAAATCTTAATATTTGCGTAATTTTGGTTCGAAGGTGCATCACAGTGATGAGGATTATTGGGAAAGACATTTTCGCGGAAACTCTGTTGAAATTTACTGTACTGTACACCAGTTTTTGCTCTTCTCGAATTTTAAAGTGCATGTGTACAACTGGAAAATAGTTTGAAAGGCGAATAGCCAGGCTGTCCAAGAGTCAGAATTAAAATTACATAAAAATAATGTTCATATCTGACAAGGCTCAGTTGTAGGTAACTAAGTACTTAGGTAACATTGCGGCACCAGCACACAGTTTCACTTATGCAGATTTCCTCCGTAAGAATATAGATCCGCAGAAAAGAACAAATGTCCTTTAAAGGGTGCTGTTATAATGCTGTGTTGATAACCATAATAGCGATATAAAAGGATATATCAAACTGTCACTTCCATCAGGAACATTTTAGAAACTAGATACGTTATTACTGTGTGAAATCTCACCATACTGTGTAATATCTGGGCTTTCGGTGCTCTAGTGTCCACTTAACCAATATCTTACCTAACCAGTAATGAATAGCGAGTAAAAAAGGATTAAATCACTTAGCAACAGGAGCAAACGAGTAACATATTTAAATAGAATGAAGGTTGAGGTGGTTTTGGAAAAAAGAGTTTACCTGGTCATTGGCGGCTTAGTTATGGACTTTGAGTTTACGTTTGTATGAACCAAAACAAACGAGGCATAGACGTTCTCAGAACTTCTTCAGATATTTGCCCATTAAAACACATGACAAAATGGCTATTCATTTCACCATGGTTTTCAATGGTTCTCTGACTCATGTCAGCAGTTGATGCAATGCGTGATACAAAAATTATCTTTTCACCTTCCTACTGTTTTTATTCAAAGTATCAATCGAAAAATATTTTCACAAAAGACTAGATGAAAACAAATTTTTAGAGATTGTAAGTTAAGAGTAATTCACAGAACACTTATCTTAAACCATTTGAAAAGCCTGACAACATGTTGGTTACTCTTGGTCTATAATGCTCTTTCCTTCGGCATTCCTACTAGTTTTCGTGATGATGTACAGGAAGATCTGCCTACCAAACCTTTAGTTATGTTAACTATCTGATAGCAGAGTAGAATTCCAATCACCTGACTCACATCTTAGTATTTGGATAGCTAACTAGCCAGCTGATTTATACTTTTTAATATTCAAGACATTTCTACCAAACGATTCGTAATTAATACGGCCTTATTTTTGGTCTATAAGGCTGTTGCGAGTGGTAATTTAAAAAGTTAAATAAAATACACCAATGCATATCACCCTCAAATAATTCAAATGATCGGTGTTTCGAGCTCACTGGTGGGACTTTAAAATATAGTATAGCAAAATAATTAATCATTCTTTCCACATAAATAATTAATAATATTCCCTACTGTTCCGGTGGTTCAGCGGTATAAGGTTCGTCAATCATGCCAAGGTTTGACCCTTGGCCGGCTCACTCCTAAATCTCTCTAAGCAGATAGTAAGGATGATAAAGAAGGGAAGTTGGGCGTAGGGCTAGCAACCTCACCTCTTGAGAATTAAAAGAACCCCACTACTACCAAAACTTCAAAGCTGTGCCTTGAAGCCACACGATCCACTGGGAATGTTAAGGGATAAAATAAAAAAACAAATACCTACGGTACCGAGTGAGACACAGGGCTTCAGGAGCCCATCTTCATTTCACTTTGTTCTCTGTTGTCTTCTTCAGCTTTCCCTACGATTGTCCATATGCTTTCACTCCCTCTGCACATGATGTCCTCGTCGTTTTCCATTCGGGATCCACTCGATGACATGACACACCATATCCATCAACGGTCACCGTTTATTGGATCTATCACCATTCTCTCCTATGCATTTATTGGGAAATAGGTCCTTTGTTGGTTTGTAGCCGTAGTTTTTTGTTTTTTATTATTAGTTGGCCAATTCACTAGTTTACTAGCTGTTCATAAGCCCGAGAAAACAGAGAAGTTTGAAGTGGGGCTAGTGGTTCTACCCGGGAAAATAATAACAAAGATTTCACGAGAATTATTTAAGTTTGTCAGTAAAACAATGGCAGAGTCATAGGTGTTTTCCTTTTCTAATTCTGTGAAAAAATTAGTTCTCCTTGTTGTACTAAATAGTAATTAACATCATTTTGTTTTAATATTGGCAATAATGTGATTGATTCAAAATGTCTACCATATTTATTATCATTATCCAAACGTTTGACAAAAAGCTACACAAATATTTGGCCGAAGAAAAGAAAGAATTAAATGGTCCCTACGCATCCTGGTGTAAGTATAAGCTTGACTTAGCTTCAAAAATGAAAATATGATCACCATGCCACAACATAAAACTGGTCACAGTTGTACACGTAATTCGATGCCGTTTGACCTTCAGCCTAAACCAATTCCATGTGGTATTTTTCTTCGTCTCTGAGATATGCAGAGTGGTAGGTTTAAAACCAATTAAAAATATGCGTCAGTACATTTTACTACCATAGAGCATAATTAAATGATTATAACAATAAGAAATAGGGAAAATTTTTTGCCCTGTGTTGGATGAAAATGCAAGATAAGAAAAACGAGATTTTTTTCCTTCACCTTCCCCAGTGGAACATAGGGCTTCAAGCTAGTGGCTTGAAGTTTCTGTAGCAGTGTTTATTTTACAGGATGAGGTTACTAGCCTCATGCCCAGCCTTTCCTCTTCACCAGCAGTATCTCTGACTAAGCGAGGTAAAGGAGTGCGTCGGGGAGTGTCCTAACCGCTAAGCCGCCGAAAAGCAAGAAAAGCCTCCATTATTTTGAAATCAGTATTGGAATCCGCTGCAATCAGCTTAAAGAACAAGATTAGGATTTTCAACACTAATTTTAAGTCAGCATTTCTGTGTGGTGTAGAGATATTGGTGTGAGCGTCACAAATAGCACTTCTGACAAGCTACCGGAGACTGTCATCAACAGCTGCTTACGCCCCATACTGAATATCAAATGTTCGACTGAGATCGGTGAGCAACTAGGAACTCCGGGAATAAACCAACTGAGAACCTATTACCCGAAAAATATGCCTAAAGAAATGGAGGTGGATGTAACATACTTTGAGTGACAACACACTACTTTGAGGCCCTCGGATGGAACCAGAATTGGATAAGAAGAGTCGGGCGTTTGTCCGAGGGTGACGCGGAGGAGATTGTATGGAGGAAGAGACAACAACTTATAGGCAACTGAGACTCGAGCTAAAAGAGGGTACAGAAAACACTATGGAATGGAGATGTCCCATTAAAGCGCTTTATTCTACTTGCAACCTAAAGCAATAATAATAACAATTCAGTATTCTCCAGGCACTGACACTTGACCTTGACCGCATTATTACTCATCAAATCATCTGTTCTTTCAAAATACCCCTCACAATGCAGAGATGAGTCTGAATAAAAACAGAAAGTAAACATCAAATATTGCGTTATTTTGCTACTTGATAAAATCTAAGTTTGTATACACTGGAGAAGTTCTAATATATATTCAATTACAATAGTTTTATCCGCACGCACAATCTTTAACGTGACTCAAATATAACCAATTGGTAGCTACAAGTGAAGCGAATAATTCATTCAAAATATGTTCATCATATCAGTTTACGTGGTAGCAAAAAAAATCATTTACTGATCTCTGTTTTATTCGTTTAAAAAAACTGGCAGTCGGTAGTAGTAGTAGCTAGGCTTTATGAAATCGAAATAGTCGCAACACACAAACACACACCCAGACAAACAGCTCATACAAACACGCTTATGAATAACCAAGATAAAGTTTTAATTTCAATACTTTTCTTATTTCTACCAGTTTTCATCATTTAAATCAATGCATAAATCATAAAATGATGAAACATTGTTTCACACAGACAGATATGAAACTAATCGAAAACTGATTAAACGATCAGCTGATCAGTTGATTGATTGTTTTTGATCACTGTTATCACTGCTACTATCATCATCAGTGTCAGTGTCACTTGCAAAATAATAAATCAAGTGATCATATGATTAGGAGGTATTCGTGGATAGACAATAGATAAACAATCCAACTGATAAATCAATAAACCTAAATTATTTATCATTATCATCATTATCATTATTCATTGAAATGAGTGATTTACAAATTTGTGTATATATATATTTTAAATTTCACAAGTACTTATTAATCACGAAAATAAAAAATTTTTTGTTTTACTCTTTTTGAGGTAAACAATTTTGTTTTCTAAACACAATAGTAAGTAGCTTTAGTTCAACAAAACAAAACAAAAAAGAAATGAAATTAAAAAGTTGAATATTGAACAGTTTATTAGAAACAAATGATACCATGTTTGATGATATATTTTCATATGTACCACAAATGATTCATTTAAAGATAAAGGGTTGATTGTTGAACATATGTGTATTTAACGAGACTATATACTGTAATGAAAGTTGATTCGATGGAGATTCATTTATTTCTGTGACGAATTTTATCCTTATTCTTATTAGTTTAAGTTACATTTTAGATGAAATGTAAAGAATGCAGTTGTCTGTGTATGCTTGAATGTCTAGGAAGCACATTTAATTCGTGAAATTAAAAAAAAGACATTGATAATAGTCTATAAATGACTTACAGGTGAATAAGTCATTTAGAATATTTGAAAATTAATCATTTACATGTCTACACATATTTATGTTTAAATAAACAAAATGTAAAGGACACTGGCAATTGATGGAAGAAAAGTACCATTCACTTCTGAAAAAACAAAGAAAAACAAAATGGTAAAACAAATTGGTTTCTAAAATGAAGCCAGTCTGAAATACTTTTCACTAGAAAATAAGTCTCAATCTCCCGCTTATTTTTTCTTTCTTAATTCTGAACTTTTTGAATGCGTTTAAATTGAACAGAAAGAAAATTCCCGCGAAGTTTAAAACATTAAAATAAAATTAAACTGGAAACTTGATACATCCATCAATTTTTATCCAACTGATAAAATTACTTTAAAAGTGAATAGACTAAAAAGCGAAATTAACCAGAGAAGTATACATTTGTGCACTTTAAGGTATAGTGTGTTGTATCGTATTCACTGACTGATTTGTTTCTTTTTGTCTTGTATTATCGTTTCTTCGATTTTCTACTTACACAACCACAGAGGAGCAATCTGCCTTTATTCTTTTGTTTATCACCATTTGTCATTGGTTTAGTGATCAAATCTTGTTTTTGATGGGATTTCTTCTTTTTACTCAATATTGATGTGATTGTTTTGGACTTCGGTTGGATATCTGCATTTAAAAGCAGAAGAAAAGACAGGCACTTAGTTTGAGAAAAATTACACATTCATTTAAACAAAATTAGACAGTTAGTAAAATACAGACAGGATACCTAATCAGTCTAAGCCTAGACAAAGCAAACAATAGATGGTTGTTTAAATGGAAGATTCAGACAGGTTTATGCGTTTTAATAGCACCTACTTTAATTACTGATAACTGCCAGTTATTTCAGCGATTTAAGTGACAGTGCAATGTAGAGTCACTTGTTCTCTTAGCTAAAGGTTGACTTCACAAACTTTATAGCAGACTTTCGCCTTAATGAATCTGTAGTTTTCTACAGCTCCATCTGTACATCCACATCTTGAGTTATCAATATCTCGATGTATTATGTCTTTCTGCATACTAGACGAAAACTCCAGTAAATGATATCCCAGCTGAACAAGACGTATTCAACACGTTTATCATTGGCTTATTACTCTGACGATTCTTGCTCGGAAGAATGCTGCATAAAGTGATCGATACAGTAGCAAATAGAAGTAAATGGATCCATGCATAATACTATATACCCATGATTGATTGAGATGACTAGTTGAATGCCGCTCACATCAAATAGTAGTGATTCTTTGTCGCATCGAAAGTAATCTAAACAACGTACGACTGTTTCCCTGTCTTCGAGACAAGCTCAGAAAGAGTCAAACCGAGTAAACCGCTGATGAGCTTTGCCCAAAACTAGCGAAACAGCCGTCCATTGTTTAGTTCACTTCTGTCTAGTCAGCGAGCAACACTCGTTGATCGAGTGGTATGCAACCACTCATCTTGATCAATCAGCAGTGTAGAGTTTCATGCAATTATGCTTGCCTTGCTTATTATGGTATGATTATGGTATCAAGCAGACCACATATTGCGGTCCGAACAATTTTAGTTTCCAAAAAAGACTGTAATAGAATTTTACCTCAAATTGTGTGAATTACAAATCGCGAATTAATTTGCAAATTGGGATTTCGATTGAATAGACTCATTTTATCATATTCCTCAATTTTTCTCTAAGAACTGTTCTACTAAAATTAACCCTTTAGAAATAAGTAAAATAGTTATCAACGTGTATTCCTTAAAATCTCATTTAGAATATTTAGTGAATAGTTTTACAAGCTGGAAAGATCATGAGAACTATTGTCAGTTTAATGATGTTGAAAATACAGCTTCTCTATTAGAGATAAAGTTTCAAAGTCACGAAACTTCATTCATATGAAAGATAGAACTTCAACTGTCTTACACATATATGCGTGTCTTCTGCAGAATCCACGCCCAATTATCAAATACATACCTTTTAAGAATAAAAAGCGATTTGATTTTAAAGTCAGCGAGGCGTTGGTAAGTAAACCGCTTCATCGCTTCAAAAAGATTGTTAACTTATAATTGTGAAGTATTCAGAAGACACTTTTTAAACAGTCAGAATTTGCATTAATATATATAGATGATAGCGGTAACATCAGAAATCATTCATCTTGATGAAGAACACAACATTACAGAAATCAAGCTACCTAACTGCATGTCTTTTATGATATCTTTTGATAGAGGTTAACTGAATAGTAGTGGAGAAACAGCCGGATATACAAACAGAATGAAGGTTTAACTTTAGTTTCCTTATTCTTTTTTACTTTGATTTATAAAATTCTTATTTGGTTTGACAACAATAACTTTTGACTATATATGCTATCATCTCTTATCAAATAATTATTCTTTAGTTGTTTTTTTTAGCATAGTGAATAAGAGAATATGCAGCTCTGATGCACATAATCTTTTTATACACCTAGTGAAATAAACGAGCGAATGGTTCATTTTGACATTTTCAAGAATTCACAGGTTTATAAGAGTTAGACTTGGCTTAATGTAGACCTAAAACAACCACCCTTACAAAACTTATTCACCTCTTTCTGACCTTAGCTGAACTCTGCCTAACATGCAAGCACTAACGAACTGAATCAAGGTAAAACGACTCGAGATGGCAAGTGTGCCTGGAACAGAGTTATATTTTTACACAAATGAGATTTGAAACTTGATACAAATAAGAGGTTATACACTTATCTGCTGCCTTGATTGTGGTAAGCTCGGAGAGTCCGCTGAATGAAAGCACAACTAGAGAGTGAACCGAAAAATGTACAGGAGAGTCACGAATCGAAAGAGGAAGAAGTGCCAAAAGCGGATGAGTGCGTTCAAACAGAAGTTCAAAGGTTCAATTTACACTACAGGTTCATGAACTAGAAAAACTGCTTTCATATAACATAGTTGATATATTATTCAAATAATATTACTGATATTATCAGGAGACCTGATTACAAAGACAAAACCTATTGAACATGCAGTGTAAACTGGCTTATCGATTGAAGCATTAGCTCTTGTATTTATCCATTACTGGCTATAATAGGAACAGCTTAAAGGAGGACGTCGACAAGTCATATTGTGTCTGTGTAAAGTCTTCTCTCTCCCCAAATTACCTTCAGCATTAAAGTTCATATTCACTGAAGTTTTGTTTTATGCATTCTTATTATCCTAATGCATAAGAATATACCAAATGAAGTATTTCGGTAATGTGTACGCATTATTTTATTAGTAAACGTTTTCATGTCCCTGTCTGTAGAACAAACTGTGTAAGAAAACACAGTAATGATTTTTAATAATGTCTGAGGAGGGCTGAAAAGACACAGTACAACAAAGCTCTGGAAACATTTATCTTAAACCTTGAAGATGATATCCAAACATCATTTACTAAGTGATTACGCAAGACAGTTTTTCATCTATCTGCTGCTATCATGACTTTTAAATTCGGAGTGTGTCAGTCATTCGTCTCTTAGCTTGTTGTGTTCATTCAGTGGAATAATAATTGCAATGGTTTTAAGGCCAACCAATAGCTGCTACCTTGACGTGGTTGTAGGGCTTGCATATCGCAGTGACTCAACAAGCTACACTGGCTGGAACTTATGTTCCTGTAGGTCCTACCATGCCAGAAACGTTGCTTGGATAGTGGTTAGACAAAAGGCAGTTACCCAATCCAATACAATGATTCAATCAAATTCACAAAATATCATGCCGGATCGGTCGGGGCCCGGATTAACAACGACCGCGCTTCCTGCTGCTGTGTTACAGGGCAGAAGTGATAAATATGCTGCTGAGACACACCAAACAAGAAAGAACAAACAAAAACAGGCCGCGTGTGACCGGCATCTAGCAGTTGTCCCCTGGGATCTGCGATCACGCAACACTAACCTTCTCTCTCTCCCCTTCTCAGGCGTGAGGCTAGCAACCCCACCCTGTAAACAAAGCTGCTACAGAAACTTCAGCACGACAAATCTCCTGACGAGGATATCAAAGCAAGAATCGGAAAAGCAAGACAAGCTTTCACTGCTCTCAAGTCTGTGTGGAGGTCAACAACACTCAGCATCAAAAATAAGATCCGGATTTTCAACTCCAATGTGAAGTCACTGCTACCTACTATACGGATCAGAGACTTGCACTGTGCGTCATAAAGAGCATCTCAAACAAACTACAGACCTTCATTAACAGTTGTCTTCGCTCGATACTCAAGATCAGATGGCCAGAAAAGATCAGTAACAAAGATCTCTGGGAGCGAACCAACACAGCAGGAACCGATTGTGAAACAAATAGGCAGGAAGAAATGGAGATGGATTGGCCATCCTCTTAGGAAACCATCAAGTGACATCACTAGACAAGCCATTGCTCAAGTGGAACCCGAAAGGGAAGCAACGAGTTGGTCGTCAGTGCAAGGGTGACTTGGAGGAGGTCATATGGAGAGGAGATGAAAACGTGTGGGCAGACATGGAGCCAGGTGAAGACTCTAGCAGAGAACCGAACGCAATGGAGACGCACGGCTGAAGCCCTATGTTCCTTTAGGAATTAAAGGAAACAATAATATGTAATAATAATGGTTTTAAGGCTATATAAAAATGGATGTGATCAGCTATGTGTATTCATCGTTCTTATACATAAAACTGTCAGCATACTTAACTGTGAATTATGAATATTCTACGTCGCAACTACCTGCGATATAGGAAAAGAAATGGCAAGTAAAACGTGAACCTGAAAGAAAAACAAATGTCTTTGGCATGTGGATCATACCAAAATTATGAAAGTTCATGGTCGTTACTGGTATTAATAATAGACAAGCAAAATAAGTTCATTTATCACAACCCTTTACGGACAAGACTTTACATATATATCCAGTCTACCAAATATTCTCAGAAAGGGATATACTTTTGCCTTTTTTCTATGTTTAGTTTCATCATGTATAATCGAATTGAAACATGCGTCGAATAATAGAGAATGTGATATCTTTGAAGACAAATGACTACACGAAATGTCAAGTTAACTAGATTAAGTTTCATCGAATTACATTACCAAGCAATTGCTGAATAAAAGAAGCCTACTGCAATTCAACTTGTACTTTACCTTCAAGTGACTACAGTTCACTTTAAGTCTCAATGAAGTCATCGATGCTGACAATGAAAACTTATGAATTAAAACAAAAAAGTAACTGAAATGTTATTTGATCATCTTAGTTTATAATTGCACTACTGGTTAAACACCAAAGTTATGAATTTCTCCTTGACACTACATAGGAATTACTGAGATTTTAATGAGCCACAGTCTAATAAGCCATTGATTGCTTCGGACAAGGACAGTCTCAGTTATTTAATTTCATCCTATAACGTCAGACATTCATAAATCATAAGAAATCCATCTATTCAAGACAAAAGAAACTAATTAGATAGACTGATGTGTGTAATATTAAGTGGGAAATAATTTGATACAGTTAAGCATCATTGTTTGTTCAAGTGTTCTAATAATAGCCAATAATGATGTCGTGGGATCAATATAATTTGAGAAAGTATCTCAGAAACGCGTTTAAACTCAATATGAATAACGAAGTAATAAGCATGAAGAACGAAAATATTATCACGTGAGTTAAATTTTCTAAGAAATTAATGATAATGGAA